CTCATGAACTTTCACATCAATGGTTTGGAAATTTAGTTGTATGTAATTTTACTTTTTGAAGACGAAAAAACAAAATAAGATTAAATATTGTTTTGTTACATATAGACAATGGATTGGTGGACTGATTTATGTAAGAAAAATAAAATGAGAAAAATTTTTATTTTTTTATTTATTTTAGGGCTTAATGAAGGATTTGCTTCATGGATTGAATATTTAGCTGTTGATAAATTTTATCCAGAGTTTGATATTTGGTCACAATTTGTTGCTGACACATATGCATTATTTCTTGTATATGATGCATTAAAATCATCACATCCAATTGAAGTACCTATTGGTAAATATCTTTTATAGATAGTGTTTTTTTTTGTTTCAATACATGTTGCATTTTTTTAAGAACATCCCGCTGAAATGGATGAAATATTTGATGAAATTTCATATTTAAAAGGTTCTTCAGTACTTCGTATGTTACATGATTATATTGGTGATGATGCTTTTCGAAATGGTCTTCATACTTATTTAAAAGAATATAGTTATAAAAATACAGTTACCGAAAATCTCTGGTCACATTTGTCTGAAGCATCTGATAAACCAGTTAATGAAGTTATGTCATCATGGACACTTCAAATGGTATGTTGAAATTAATGTTAAGAGATACATTAATTGTGATAGTCAGTTTATAATGTTGTTAGATGAAATCTAAAAATTTGTTAAACTTTAGTATTTTTTTAAGATTTGATTTTTATGATAATGATAATTTTTATCTATTGATTTGTAATTTCAAAAATTTAATTGAGTACATAATTAACCGTTATGTCTATATTTTCAAGCATAAGTCATCGATCAAGTTTAGATTTTGTCTATGAACAGGATTTGTTAAGACTATATTAGGAATCTAAAAATACTTGTGTTCATGCTGTAATCATATAGAATTGTAATCACTTTACTACATCTTCCTCTTTTAATTGTGATATTTATGAAAGATCGTTTTCTAAAATGTTAATCTGAGATTTTGTCTAAAGATAGATTTTTGGGTTTTGAGGATGCTTTGAAAATATTACCTCAAAGAACAGTCTTCTATAGATCCTGAATGCACGAACGAAGTCGGTTCTGAGCGTCTTCTTATGAGAGCGGACCATTATTCAGACAGTCCTTATCTTGTCAAGAAAAAAAAAATCATTTAAGCTAAAACTTTTCAAGTCATCCTCATGACTTTGAGTTCTGTCTATAAACTAAATTTTAGGTTATCAATTCAGAAGACGAAAATTCAATAAGGCGTTCATAATTCTACATGAATAAGACATAAACTGGACTTATTTTAGTATTTTGTAAAAGTTCCCTCAATTTTTGCAAATAGAAGCCATTATGTGTTTTATTCTATTATCTAGGGTTATCCACTTGTAACTGTAATCGAAGAACAGCAATCAAATCAAACACGCATTATCAAATTAAGTCAACAACGCTTTATTGCTGATGGTAGTGCTGATGATGAAAATCTTCAATGGAAAATTCCCATAACTATTTTTACAAAATCAAATCCAAACGTAGTTGCGCAACAAATATTAATGGATCAACCTGAAATAACAATAACATTAGATAATATTTCTGAAAATGATTGGATTAAATTAAATTATCATTCTATTGGTCTTTATCGTGTTAAATATGAATCCCAAACATTAGCATATTTAAGTGAACCAATAGCTAATAAAATACTTAGTCCACAAGATCGTCTTATGATTCAAGATGATGTTGCTACTTTATGTAGTGCTGGTCATCAATCATACGTTGATTATCTTAAATTATTATTATCATATAAAGACGAAGATAATTTTACGGTCTGGAAATCAATTGGTAAAAAAACAATAATAAGAAAAACAAGATTAATTCTTTTTATATTTTTAGCATCAATTTTGGATGATTTGTCATCGCTAATTGAATATACTGATTATTATGATCAATTTAAAAAATATCGTTTAAATATGGTTTCATCAATACAAGAAAAACTTGGTTGGGATGCAGAAGAAAATGAAAATTCACTCGTAACTATGTTACGTCCTGTGATTTTAAGTTTTATGGGTAAATCAGGTGATCAAGCAATTATAGATGAAGCTAATAAACGTTTTCAATCTCATATTAATGGAGATTTAATTGATCCAAATATTCGTGCAGCTGTTTATATTATTGTCTCGTGTAGTGGAGATGAAAATACTCAAGAAGAATTAAGAAAATTATATAAAGCAGCTGAAATGGCTGAAGAAAAAGTTCGCTTATTTTGTTCAATGGGTCACTCAATTGATCCTAATATAATTGAAAACACTTTACAATTTATATTTGAAAGTGTATGATTTATTTTCGAATTTATCACAGAGCGTCACAAACACTAGTCAGCGACCATTGCATAGTGTGACAACACACACAAATTTGAAGTCTTCATTGACCATGACATGTGCTAGTCAGAGACTCTGATAGATGTTGTGGCCATGTTCGGAATACATGTCGGCCTACTAAAATTCTGTGAGATAATTTTTTTGTGGAATTCCGAAATCTGTTTGTCCCGTCGATTTTGATTTTCAAAATATCACAATCTCGAATATCCCACAGAAACGCCAGTCACAGTCAGCATATGAACTATTTTCATTGTTGCATTTCTAGAGGTATAAGGAAAAGGATGGTGAAGAAATGTGTCCTAAAATAGACAGAATAAAACAATCTGCTTGTGATTGGCAACAGTGGCTACATTGAATTTCATATTTTAATCTCACAGGGATTATGTTAACAGTTTTTTATGTCGTGTTTCTTTTTGATGTAGGATGAAGTCCGAACGCAAGATTCCACTTCAGCTCTTGCTGGTTGTACATCAAGTCGTATTGGTCGAAATATAGTTTGGAAATTTTTACAAAAGAATTGGATGAAACTTGTTGAACGTTTTGGAGACAATAGTAGATTTCTTGTTTCTTTCGTTGAAGTAATTTTAATATTTTCTTTTTTATTGATTTATTTTAAATGATGATTAATTTTATTTAGCGTTGCTTATCGGATTTTGCTGATGAAGAAACAGCGAATGAAATTAAATCATTTTTTGATTCAGTTGATACACCAATTGTGAAGCGAGCAGTAAAACAAGTTCTTGAAAAAATTTATATGCGTGTTAAAGTACTTCAACGTGATTCAAAAGCAATAGAAGAATATTTAAAAGAACAATAATTCAAACACTTTTTAATAAAATAGTATAGTGTCTTTTAATTAACTAATCTTCATAGAATTGCTGTTTTTTTCTCATGTCTAATTTTAATTTACATTTAACAAACAATTTAGTCTAGAAAACTATCTTTAATAACCAATAAAGATGTAGTTTATTAGTAGACATCATTTATTTCTTAAATACAGTAAATGCTAAAACTCTTAGCACGACGAGAATGTGAATGTGAATGTGATTGCAAAATGTCACAAGATGAGAAGAAAACCAAGACGATCATAACACCTACACCCACTCGAAATTAATAGTATGTTATTTATTTAGAATGAATTAAAACATCAATTGAGACAGTGAATGTGATATTTTATGAAATAATATTAGTGATTTGAATAAAAATATCGACAGGTATACTTGACAATTACATTTTATTTTTATTCAAATTTAGTATCAATGAACATATGATATAACTCAAGTTGAACAAATGAAGTCCATAAAAATATCTTAATGGCATCAAGAGCATGATGAACAAAGTCATTTTTCTTGCTAAAATCTTGAGAAAAAGTGTTTCTTCATTTTACTGGCTATACATCTGAAGTTCGCAGGAAATAAAACGCATAACTAAGCTAATAGAACCATTCACATTTCTTTCTATATCTATTTCATTCTTTTACCAAAACTTACACAAGCTGCAGTATTCAAGTTTCTCTAACATAATTATAATATCAACTTCAAGTATTTATTTGTCTTACTCTTTTTGAATTTCCCTATAATTATCGTTACATATATAGTATGCCATCGAACAGTAGGAATTCAGCTGAGCCTAAGAACAAGGACCAAGACAACATTCAAGACAAAAACTAGCTAATACTGAAGTTTGGTCTCAACAAACATGACTTCTTTGACACAGTTACATTATATCAATGCGATCAATAGATAAATCAATTGATTGGAAATTTATATAAGTTTTTGTTATCAAATAAAACCTCTATTATTGGAAGATAATAAAAAAAACAATCATTTATGTTAACATTTTTCATATCATTTAGAATTCTACCACAACATCTACATTACCATCTGTTTCATCTTCATCTTATTCAGATATGAATCGACATTGTTCTTCATCTCCTCCAAATTGAATATTTATTGAACTTTCACCATCAAATAAACTCAATAACCTTTATCTGATCAATGTTGAAATTTATTTGAACGATAGTCAACATATGTTCATTATGAACATATGTGTGTGTGGGTGTGGATGTGAGGTGTGAAGGCGAGGATGGTTGTACGTGTCGACGGGTATAGGTGAAGAGAAGACTAGAAACCACACTCACACTCACACTCCACTCAAATAATTATTGCGATACATGTTATTCACCTTGAGAGAAAATGCTTCTCACTTTATCTCTTCCTTGTCTTTTCGGTTTAGCACAGTTCACATCCATTGTGGGATGAGTTTGGGTGTGAGCCTTGATCAAGGGGGAAAAGCCAGACTTCAGATTTTTGAAGTACACAGTCTTGAAGTCTCGCTTTTTCCAACCTTGGGTTCGATAGATAAATAGAAGACATTCATCCTTTCTTTCTTTTTATTCTAATATCCATCTCCTGTCGTATGCACACTTTTGCAGATGGTACAGATACACGCATTGACGGGCCGAGAACAGTAGAGAAATTATCATGAGTAAAACAAGAGAACACTTCATGGAATATCTTGATCCAGTAGAACGATTCGTAACACAGACTAACTATAGGGATGTCGATACTCCAATAGAAAAAAATGATTTCAAAGCTGCTGTTTATGTTACACCATTTATGATGAGACAAGCTTAATCAACGGATATTTTGGTTGCGTTTCTTTTAATTGAATGATGTGGAGTCCATTGCCTTGATCAAGACAGGCGACTACTTCAAACTGACGAGCGGGCAGGAGCAAAAGCTCAACTTCTTCCGGATAAAATGAATGTTGCTGAATATTTTTTCCTGCGTCACATTCAATACAAAAGAGAGTTCTGATTCCACTTTTGCCTAAAAAGCGTTCATTGCTGAGAGTGTCAATCGATAAAGTGCATGAAGAGAAACCCCACCATACAATCGTTTTTCCTTTGATATATTCGGTGCTCAAATCCAATTTCACTCCACGATAGACGGGACGAACGGTTGATGGAAGTTTGCCAAGAGCGTTGACTATGAGTCGAAGATATAAAAACCACGGCTTTAACAGTTCTCGACTTGGTGCTCGTAGAATGGTATTAATCTTGAAATAGAAAGATTCGCTGGTTGGCTCCCATTCCATTGTATAAAGCATGATGGACGCAGACTCATCGCTGGTCAAACCATCTTTTGGATCGCCACAATTCTGTTTAACTATCCAGACCATCTGTTCGATATCTGGGATAAGTGACACGAGAGGAGCAACAGCCTCTTCAAGTGAAACAAGGGGCATTTTTTCAAAGCCTTGAATTGGTAAAAGCATTCGTCGTGGTTCTGCAGCAATATCCGTGAATCGACGACTATGATTTGACTCATCAACGTGGTCACAGGCCATGCTAGGAGTTGAACCTGGAAACACAAATGTACGCATTAAGTAGAACTGTGACACGTTAGACTTGATTCTATAGGTTGTCGATCAGTTATTTTCAAAATAACTGTCACTATTTATCGATTAACGTTCGAAGAACGCAAAAAAAGCTGCCTCTAACATTTGTTTTTATTAGCTCTATTTATCATAGTTACTCACAGTAAAAACTTTAAAGTTATCAGCTGGTATCGAATTACACTTTTTCGAAACTATAGAGACCACTTAAGATTTCATTTGCTGCAAATATAGGGTAATCTGAAGTAAATCCACAAATAGTTAAATCCCAAATCTTGCAATGTATATAAGACTTACACATTTAAATATTTTTAAAAAGTTTATTCACAAACAAGCATACACCAGTAATAATATTGTACTGGCCCATTGGAATTAACACTATTATTTATTTACAGAACAACTTCTGTTCACAATTAGATTCGTTTCAGGCTCTTGAGAAAAATCAATTTCTTCAGCACTATAATGCAGTATAACATTTTAGTTTTTTCTCTCATTGTTAATATTAATTGGGTTTAGACAGTCTCTTTCATCATTTTTGCTTAACAAGTGAACGCTAATATCATTATTGATTAAGTCAGTGAATAAGAAATCATCAGTGATGGCCAGAAGTAGCCAAAATTGGGGCGAAGCTCGCGATTTTTTGCAAAGGAAAACTATCCTTCTTCTTTCAGAAGAGTGGATGTGGGATGTGTGAAGAGAAGATCAATCACCAGACCAACACCCATACTCACACTCTTATAGCCTACTATATCCATGTTGGACTATATAATCCCAATAAATAAATCATATACGGGATTTGAAATAGCTGATTTTGTTCAGTTTCGATACTCTATCTTTTGTTACATCGCGTAAAAAAAATGTAACTTGTAGAAGTATAGTCCTAGTCGACATTTATGGGTCAGTTGATCACTATTTTCTGCACAGTTGGTAGGTAGTACGAAGAAGTGGAACCCCACTAACTTCACTATGAAACACGCAAATGAACTAAAATTCAGCTTGGCGATTTTTAGATGATGGGTTTTCGAATGCACGTTAACTTCTAGACTATATCTTTAGAAGGATGAAAACTTTTTAAGAGCCTTTGTAATTGTTTGAACTAGCAATTTTTCGATTCGTTTGCTTGTTTTCATCAGTCAAAAAAGAAGCAAAAATTTTCAAAATTTTGGAATCTTTATGAATATATCACTTTTAGAACATGAGCTGTTCTATAGAACCTATCACTCCATGTTTTGTTGATCCCCATACAGTATGCACGATTTTTAGTTTTCACGTAGGAAAAATTTTCAAATGATAGGAGTGACTATGATTAATTGGGGCTTTCGTCAAGACTCGAGTAATTTTTCAATCAGATTGTTCCAAAATAAATTATTTTTCTAAGATAATCTTTTCAAGGTTACCCATTTATGCCCTTTGCGCTCAATTCTTGTCATTGCATTACCTAATATTGTTATAAATTTTTTCAATACTGCAGAAAAATCGTACGTCATATTTTCGATCTCATCTTCGAAAAAGGTGAACAATTTTGGTTTTCATCGATATTATTTTTGGTATGGAGAATTTTTCAATTTTGCGTTCAAACTTTCGAACTAGCACTTACAAAGATTCAACGTTTCGATGCAACTGAAGCTTCTTGTTCTTATTATGATAAATATGCGGATAATTTATTTTACGTGTTCTAAATAATGATTTCTAAAGAACTACTCTAATAAGTAATCAGTTTCACTTTCAACCTGTGGATACAATACTTCTCAGTATGTTTATGCTCACAATTTGTTGCTTATTTTGTTTTCCTTCTGAATTAATGATGTATTTTAGGTTTCAGATAAAGAATCTAACATTATCAATATTTCAGTAGAGCTTTTCACGTACCAGAACTTGCATGTGCTGCACTTTGGTGATCATCATTCTTTGACTTTCGTGAGGCTCGGGTTTCCTTATACTCATCGATAGGTTTCGTTGAAGAAGTTTGCTTCGTGTCATGTTTTGATGAAGGTGAAGATAAATCTAAAGGGGAAAGCAAAGATTTTTAAAAATATTTTTTTGATTGAATCAATCGAGATTTGTCAAAATAAAAACAAATTTATTTCATGAATCGTTTTTTGCATCAAATCTTCTAGAGAGTCTAATATCTGCATTAAAATCTATCAAAAGTAATCGGTATTTCCATTAGCTTTCATCATTCGTAGATGTATACTGATTTTATGTTTGATTTTTATACAGATCCTTTTCTCAATGCTGAATTTACGGTTTATCAGAAGAAGAAAAAAAATGGGTATCAGCAACAAATATTCGAATTAAAAGAAAGGGTACTTAGTCGTACGATTGGCAAGTGATGAAGCCAGCGGTTTCGAAGCAATTGGTGCGACTTCGTCATGCTTTTTGTCAATTGTTTCTTCTAGTTCTACGAAAGTGATATTACTGTTATCTGAATACAAGGCAACCCTCTTTACAATTAGAGTAGTTCCAGGCATCAGAATAACTTCTTCTGTAACGAGATCAAGTGTCTTGTGGGAAAAGTCTTTTCCATTAGTAGTATCGATCTTGACAAGTGTTCCGCTTGCGCCAACGCAATATTTAAGGATGAAATCTAGAGATTTCGAGCATGAACTGATTCCCTGCCAAATGACGGTTTGACCTATTGTGAACTTGCTTCCTATATTTTTATTGGTGCCACGCCAACATGCGCCCTTAAATGAGGGTAAGCGTTCAACTCCAGCACGAAATAATTGAAGGTAAGGAAGCCAAGGCTTCAGTTCGTCTTGACGATCAGATTTAAGTGCTTTATTAAATAATTTGCACAAAGGTTCGGTTCCCCATTCCATTGCATATAACTGCACAGCAGCCATCTCATCTGACCTATCACCAAAGTCGTTCCTAGCTTCCTGTACGAGACTATCCAAATATCGAATATTTTTTGGCAAGTACTTAACAGCGTCGTCGAGTGTCATATTGGAATACGTCAAATTCTCGTAGACAGGCTTTATTAGCTTGTTCTCGTGATCAATCATTTTAAATCGGTTTGATTGATAAATGGCTTCTAAATATTTTCGTTTGAGATACAACTCAACTTCGGAAAAGATTAACAAGTTTTTGTGATAGAGCTAGTCACGGATGGCCGAAAAAAAAACATATCGATTGTATTAAGGTCTCTTGACGCAATGGTGTCATGGAATGACGGCAAGATATTTATTATCAATCAATAGAGATAAATAAACTAATAGCTTCACCTCATTTTTTCTTTCATATAGAATGTTTTGATTAAAGAATTTTCTTATTTATAAAAGTAAATGTTCGGTGCACTATTTATATGTGTAATACATGAGAGTATGGCCATGAAAGTCGATGGTATGAGTGAGTATGCTGCTTTTCTCTTTGTCTTCATCCAACCACTCATCCACACATACTCTGCATATACTTGATCAAAAATTCATTCTTCAAATTAATACTTTGCTCATCAGAAGGCCAAAACCACTGCTTTTCGAATGCATATGTAATGCACTTGTGCTGGCATTTGAACTGCATCCATAGTATGGGACAAGTGATTATTGATTCAATATGGTGACTCTGTAGCCTAGGCATAGCTCTACCAGTGAATGTATTTTCTAACATAAAAAGTCAAATAGATTTATATGCAATATAAAATTACAGGACATATCTATCATAAGATGTTAAAATAGATCCGAATTCAGTATTCGATTGAAACTTTGTACTTATAAAACTGCATGATCAAAGATTTTACATCTAATTATTACTTCATGGGGCTTTTTGTTGCAATTACAAAATTCAAATACATTTTTTATTGAATACCTTTCAAGTACTGTAGTTAGCTTCGTATAATCATACGACTAAATATCTCTTGCAATTAAAAGCATATTCCTTTCAAGTTCAATTATTTTTTAGCAGCTATCATATTTTTTAATTTTTTATTGAAGTGTTTTATTGAAACGTTCTCTTATTCATTATATTCTACGCAACATATGTGCTTATCTTACTGGATCTTTTGTTCGATTATGCTACAATCTTATTAGTAGATATTGGATAAAGACTCTCAAAAAGTCTATCAACTGCTTTTTCTCGAGACTTTATTGCGTTTAAAAAGTATTTTCTGTTAGAATCGATTTGCCTAGAAAGTTTACCAAAATATCAAGAGACTTCCTGGCGTACTTGCTTGCAGACTTCATTATTTATGAAGAGAGACAAAGAGGTACTGTAGTGTAATTGGCAAAAAGGGGGTAAAGAACTATTGTTTTATCAATTTGATTCCTTTTCAGAATCTGGTGTAGAAATACAAAATCAATACTCACGATATGGTTCTTGTTTTAATTGACTTTTTGGTTTCATCTGAGTAGATGTTTCTGCTTCATTTTGTAAGGTATATAGTTCTTCTAAATATACCAACGTTAAGTTACTATTTTTCTGATCTCGTTTGATGAGCTCCACATTCAGACGAGTGCCTGGCATCAGAAGAACTTCTTTCGCATCAGGATCAGATGAGTATTTAGAAATATCTTTGGCATGGATGGCGTTGATCACAAAGAGTATTGCTTTTTGGTCACGGCACTTTTTCATGATGAAGTCTGAATCTCTTGAACAAAAACTTATACCAGACCAAGTAACATGTTTTTTTGATTTGATTTGGTTTAAGAATTCAGCTTTGCCGATTCGAAAACACTTCCCTTGAAAATCAGGCAATTTTTTAGCTGCAGAATATAATAATCGAAGAAATTGTAGCCACGTGTTTAGCGTTCCACTATTTTCAGAGCATAATGCTTGATTCAGTAACGCATATAAACTCTTTTCACCCATTTCTCTTGTGTACACATGCAAGGCAGCACACTCGTCAAAAGTAAGTTCGCCTAGGCTTCTGCCATTAAACCGTTCGTCAGCACTCAGTACATAAGCATTTATATCACGAATAAGATGACTTGCTCGTTGGAGAGCTTGTGTTATGGGTTGTAGGCTTTCATTTGTTATTAATCCATCGATGGACAAAACCTTTTTATCTTCCCACTCAACTTGTATAAATCGATGAAATGCATTATTTGTAGCCATTTTAAATCGATCAAAAAAAGTAAATCTAAAAATAAAAATTACCTCACACACTTCGATGTTACATGTGCACGTCTTTTTTGTAAATGGTCGTTTTAATGATTCGAATTGCAAACCAGAAAGAGGAGTAAAAGGTAGTTGAAAACTATTTTCCATTGTGCAAGCGCTCTTTTTCTACATATTCAAGAGTCACATGGTCGTCTGCAACAAACAATCAACGATTCTTTTTCAAATCGTTGCATAAGTAGGTGACTTATTTTTCTTCTTTTGTAGGAAGAAGAAAAAGATTCTCTGTTACTGACGTATTTTACATTTTACATTCGTCATCGGCACCGAAGTGAATACAATGGCTAGCATTCATAGAAAAAAAAAACAAAATCGACCTGTTCGCATTTTATTGTTAACAAAGCTTCCATGACATAGTCCAAAAAATGAGGCCCTGTCAAAGTTTGTGTTTTATTATTTCACATGTACTTGTGAATCTGTGTTGTCGAAAGTTTCTACGTTCAGCTTTTACGCTGTATAAATACCAATCTTATCTTTACTTATACAAGAACAAGCGAAAGTCTAGTAGTTATTGACAATGGAAATAGTAGGCTTGAATAATTGATTGTTACCAAAAGAAAGTATTTCTATCTATGAATTGCTTCACTCTATGGTGACCTCCATTAACGTATACCTAAACTAAGAATTCAGTTAATTGAATCATGCTCTGAAATTTGAGTGCAATTTTCTACGTAATTAAAATCTTTTGCAAGTGAGACAAAGTATGGCTATCGATTCTGGTTATCCCATTGGAGTCAAGTGAATTTTTCTCAAAGAAGAAGACTTGGTCTTCTACTTTCCAACTTTCAAAGGAAGATGAAAACAAAGAAAGCAAACAATACCTTCACAGCATGAATCAGTCATGAAAAAAGAAATTATTGACGTTACCTACAGTAAGAAAAACGTTAAGTGTCTGTTGTGTTTTACATTGCCATTCTTTGCAGGTCGAGCTGAAAATGTTTGCTTCTTCGAATATATAATGATGACGCACTCATGGCCATAAAATGTAACGCGTTTCTTTTCTTTCAGAATTCAACAAAAAAAAACCCTATTACCTCTCTGCTTTGTTTTATTCTGCCATACGTATAGCAACCAGTGTAGATATGGCTGACAATCGAAACAACAAACCTACAGGTACGATACTTATTAGCAACGGAGAATACAAGCTCCAAAAGTTGTATGCTGACAATGATGCTGACCACAAATACTCAACTGTAATTATTCCTGATACTCCAAATAAACTCACTCCAAGCAATCATTGCAGCGAAATTCCAAGTAAAGCACACGAATCGTCTGAATGTGTGGTTTAAGTTTGATATCAATTGAGAGCGACACAGAAATAGCTATAATAATAAGCTATCCAATAGATTTTAATTAATCATCTCTTTAAGAAACTTTTTTTGAAGAACGTCATTGCGAACTGCTAATATGTTTTAGTAACTGTGAAGTCAGTTCGAAGTCAAACAGAAAGATAAGAATGTATTCATTTGTGTAGAATCTGTTTTCATCAACTTTAAAAATTCATCATGAAACTACAAAAAAACACAACAAAAATGATTTTACTATAAAGCGATTGTTTCTATTCAATATCATAGCGAGCCAACACCTATGGACGTGAGCATCACCGATCAAATTGAAAATTTGAATGACTATCATGTGTCACATAATAGTAATGTTTCCACCGAATCTGAAGATACAAGTATTACTTAACTCTCTGATGAAAAAGATCTACTTGATCCTATATTAAAAAGAATACAGAAAACTGATCTTATCGATCGCCTTCTGGGTTGTGCTTATGGGCAGGCATTAGGCGATGCATATGGTCTATCGACGGAATTTGAAAACCGAAGAACAGTACTTACTATGTATCCTGATACCACACAAATAATTCCGTTTCCTAACTATCACTTAACTGCTCACTCAAGCCGTTGGAGATGAGATGATTGGACTGATGATACTGATCAATGGATATGAATCATGGAAACGCACAAATGATCCATGATAAGCTTATTTTTGTGTTCAGGTCAAATCAACAGCTATATCTATGTGTAAAGTAACTCATTTCGATTCTCGATGCATCGCTTCATGTCTTACAGTTTGTCTTGCTATTGACTATCTTTTACAAACCATTACTGATGATAATATTGAACTGCTCATCGATCGTGTTCAAAAAGAAACTCTTTATATTCTTTATGGCCAACTAACTTTTGAGCATTAAGAAGAATTCTTATAGTGTATACGTAAGGACCGAACTTTAGAAGAGCTTAACCTTGATGAACTACGAAGCATTGGATATACTTGTAAATGTTTAACATCAGGTTTCTATGGATTGAGATCTACAAAACCGTTTCAAACAACACTTAATGATCTTATTCGATATAGTGGTGATGCGGATACGAATGGTACTGTGTGTGGAACAATGTATAGTGCAAGACGTGATTTCACCACATCGCCTTAAGGGTGTGGGTGTGAGTGGGTGTTGGTGTGATTATTTTTCCACACACACACCTGCACCTACAAGCATTGGTCAACATTACACGATATTGCTTTTTTGGCATTGTTACAAATCATAGTCAATATAAAGAGCATTGTTATATTTATTTACACATGAAAATCAACTATGTTTTCCTTTGCATTTCACTCAAATGATTTCGGTAAATCTGAAGACATGGATGATTTTCGGGTAGAGCTTCTTGTCCGGTTTCAACAGCACATTCGTAAAATATGAGTGCAATAGTATCCTGTCCCATCTTGCAATAAACTTCCCCAATGTTGTTATAAGTAGCAGCAAAATCTGGATGATTTGGTGGTAGAGATTTCTGTTGGATTTCTAGTGACATTTCATAGAATTCAAGTGCTTTCATGTACTCTTTCATTTTGACATAAACTTCGCCAAGACTGTTGAAAGTAACAGCAAAATCCGGATGATTTGGTGGAAGACAATATCGTCGAATTTCAAGTGATTTTTCATGAAAGTCGAGTGCATTCGAATATTGTTTCATGTTCTCGTATACTACAGCAATATTGTGATAGGTCGTTGCTAGCTCTGGATGATGTGAAGGAAGAGATTGTTGTTCAATTTTCAGTGACTTATGATGAAATTCGAGTGCTCTTGAATAATCTCTCATTTTAGCATAGATTTCGCCGATATTATTATAGATAGCTCCAAAATCTGGATGATTCGGTAGGAGAGACTTCTGTTGAATTTCAAGGGATTTTTCATGAAATTCAAGCGCTTTCAAGTATTCACCCATATTAGCGTAGACTTCTCCAAGATTATTATAAGTAGCGGCCAATTCAGGATGATTCTCAGGAAGAACTTTTTGTCGAATTTCAAGTGACTTCTGATAGAATTCAAGGGCTTTCGAGTATTCACCCATGTCATCATGTACTGCAGCAATATTATGATAAGTAGTGGCAAGTTCGGGATGATTAGAAGGAAGAGAGTTCTGTTGAATTTCCTGTGACTTTTGATAGCATTCTAAAGCTTTTGAATATTGACCCATGTTAGCATACACTTCTCCAATATTATTATAAGTAGCACTCAATTCTGGATGATTAGGTGAGAGACATTTTTGTTGTATTTCTAATGACTTCTTATGAAACTCGAGCGCCTGTAAGTAATCGCCCATATTTTCATACACTTCACCAATGTTATCATAGGTAGAAGCTAATTCCGGGTGATCTATAGGAAGAGATTTTCGTCGAATCTCAAGTGACTTTTGATAGAACTCAAGAGCTTTCGAGTATTCACCCATGTCATCATGTACTGCAGCAATGTTATGATATGTAATGGCAAGTTCGAGATGATTAGAAGGAAGAGACTTCTGTTGGATTTCCTGCGACTTTTGGTAGCATTCTAATGCTTTTGAATATTGACCCATGTTAGCATACACTTCTCCGATATTATTATAAGTAGCACCCAACTCTGGATGATTAGGTGGAAGGCATTTTTGTTGTATTTCTAATGACTTTTTGTGGAATTCAAGGGCATTTGAGTAATCTCCTATGTTCTCATAGATTTCACCAATGTTATCATAGGTAGCACCTAATGCAGGATTATTCGATGGAAGATGTTTTTGTGCATTTTCAAGCGACTGTTGATAGAATTCAAGTGCTTTCGAGTATTCTCCCATATTAGCATAGACATCGCCAATATCATTATAGGTAGCAGTGAAATCTTGATCATTTGGTAAAAGTGATTTTTGTTGAATTTCAAGCTGTTTTTTGTAATATTCAAGTGCTCCTTGATAGTGACCCTTGATATTTTTTATGCGTCCAAGTTGACTATATATATTAGCAAGATTTTTCACATCGTCGTTACTTGTTTCTTCTCGTAATTTCTCAAACGCTTCTTCAGCATCTTCAAAATTGCCCATACGTAGTAACAATTCACCGAGTCGATGGCATCCAGTTGATGCTTGGATTTCTTGTTCTATGTGTTCTGTAAGAAGTTGTAGTTCTTGGTCGTTATCACTTGTCAATGTGAGCTCAATGCGCCATAGTCGATCTTCTATTTGATCGATTTCACATATACGAAATACAGCGTGCATTGAAAATAAAATTTCTTGTTCGCTAGAAAAGGCACTGATGTCACTTACTGCAGCGAATGGAGTCGATGGAACAGACGAAGTGATCGTCATTTCGAAAAGTATGCCCACGAAATCAGGTTTCTGCAATGAGTTTTTAGCAAATGATAATGAGACTTTTCTATCAAGGCTAGTAGACAAAAAATTGTTGAATGCCAACAGACGACCTTTGCTGTTCTTTATTCTGTCGAAATCTGCCAATGACATTCCTTGACCACGATAAACAGGAAATAAATCTTGATAAATTGTCTGAGAATGAATTTCTTGGATATGAAGATGAACGTCGCGTATAAAATAGCTCATCTTGATAATGATTTCTACATCTTGTATTCGAAGAGCACGATTAAGCATCTTATAGATAAAACATTCACGTGTGTACCACCAGATAGGTGTGTGTGCTCCACCATCATGTTCGAATTCATCAATGATTTGCAATTCATAAGGATTGTCACGATATTGTTCCCGACAAAAGTCGACAAACTCTTTCTTGATGTCACCATCGTACTCCATTTCAAGAAACAATTTTTTAAGTAGTTCAGTATACATAAACGATGGATCAAGGCGATTCAAATCGTCGCCTGTGACACTAATCGAAATTGTATCTCGATCATATTGACGAATATCAGATAGTAGCATATCACATAAATTATCAATTTGAGAAAATACACCCTTCACTTTCGTCCATTCATTCGCCCACTGTTCATGTTTCAACTGATATTCACAAAATACATAGATGGAATTAAGTTGAGACATGTGATGAATAATAGGTACTATTACTTGACCAAGTGTACCAGATATGATCATAAACACTTTTTCGTTTTCAATTTGAGTAAGAAAGTCAAAACATTGGTCTGTATTAGTGAATGTATTGATATTATTAACGATTCGTCGAAATTGGTTAAGTGAATTATTGAAGTCAACATTCGAGTCATCTATACTTGAATCTAACCATATGAGCCTGAAATTTTGAATTGCAGGAATTCTTGATGACTTAGTGGAATAACTGCGGTTGAATTTTGTTGCAGTCGCATTTCTGGATGAAATCGGTTTCTTTTTTATGTTGATAAGAACTAGAAGACCGACTAATTTAAAAGATAATTTGGGCTTGGTGGATGTTACATTCTTCGTTTCATTCATTGTGGATAAATTAGTTAATAGAAGGTTTCTTCTAATATGCGTATAATAATTGTACACTTCAAATGGTGATAAACATCTAGATCAAAATCAAAGATTAGTTAGAGTTTTACTGCATTATCAAAAACCAAAATTAAGTTTGATATGACTCATAAAACTGAACGAAATAATTTTTTAAAATAATAGACTATGTTTATATCAATTACACAAAATACTAATAAATTTTGTGCGATAAGTAATATTACAGTCTGCAATCATCGTAATAAATACAGCACTAGACACAGTGCATTAAATATTTCATTTTCGAAAATAGTCTATATATTTGTATGTATTTCACCTGCGTTTATTAAAAATAGCTGACGAGCTTCAACAGGGGTAATATTAATTGCTACGATAGTGAATATGATTACATATTATGCTCTTATATGAATACTTTCCCTCTCGCTCTCTCACTGTTCTGTATGGGAGCAGCAAGCCATGATATTTTCGTTTTTGTCTGTTCTTTCATAATGATGCGCATGTAGGTGGGAATATGCGTCAAATCTTTTCTACGTCAACGAAAAAAATAGTCATGATTCATGAGAATTATGCTTTTCATCATGAAAAAAAAAATGGATGTAAAATCGATCTATTTGCAAGTGAAATAATTTGGATATTGTCAAACAAGAGTAGTTTCAGTACGTTAGTGAATAGTCAATTGCATAATTGAGGATCCAATTACTATTCATACTATCAGCAACATAAATGAAGTTAGATGACTCTTTCTAGACAATCAACGTTCGACCTTGCTTATGAATTACAGTTTTACAAATCTGACATTTTCATTTTTTATTATGTACAATCATCATTTTATTTCGTCCTATTTTTGTTTTTTAATTTCAGGTTTGTGAATTCACTACTAAACATAGGAATAGGATATTTGGCACAAAATCTAATGAATTGATTCCATATGAACATTGACCAAACAGTTCTCCATAATTATATTTATTCTTTTCATAGAATTATTGGTCTCATTTTAGAAGTTATCGATAAAAAAGAAACCATGTTGATAGGCAGATTATGCCGATAGAAACACTACGGAGAGAAAGCTGTTATTATTATTGATTTATTTAATATAAGACCATTATAATCCGACTCTCTTTCGTGCTTGAATTTTATTCAATATATCATACATACAATATGTATTGACACTTTGATCAATGCTAATCCTCACTAGCAACCACCTGGCTCTATTAATTTTTATATGGTATTTACTCATATTTCACTTATCTACATTCTGTTTTTGTTCGAATGCCTATAAATACTGTAATCATTTTCGCAAGCGTATGTTAGAATACTTATTCATTCCCTATTCGATTCACCGAATTTAAAACATGACCTTGATTTTCTATACAAGCTTCTTCTTGTTATTGGTGACTGTCATTACTGCTCAAGGCGGAGGTACTGTAAATTGCCAATTGAATACTTTTCATTCAACGCAACTTGATTTTATATTCAAAATACAGGAATTGTGTGTGGTCGGAATGAACAGTTTACCACTTGCGGTTCGCCTTGCATCGAAACATGTACGTACAAGCCCGAAATATGTGTAGCTATGTGTGCTGTCGGATGCTTTTGCAAAAAAGGATATGTACGAGAATCAAACAAGACTGGCAGTTCATGCGTCAAACGGGAAGAGTGTGGAATAGCAGACGATTTTCCAAAGTGTGGCGAGAATGAAGAATTCTTGACATGCGGTTCAGCATGCCCACCGACATGTAAAGATTGGTCGTATCCACTTCCAAAACCGGATATCGCGTGCATTGCAGTATGTGAGACAGGTTGCTTCTGTAAGAAGGATTTTTATCGTTCAAGGGAGGGTAAATGTGTTAGACGCGAACAATGCTGTGGCAAGAACGAGGTATTTACAGATTGTGGTTCAGCCTGTGTCGAAACATGTAATTACAAGCCTGAAATTTGTACTGAACAATGTGTCACTGGCTGCTTTTGTCGTCAAGATTATGTGCGCATCAATAACAGTACTAATAGTGTCTGCATTTCTCGTAATGAATGTGCAAAATAATAGGCTATAATTTATTTACACGAACATGTTTTCATCTTTGTTCGAGTTATTTGAAGTAAAAATCATATAAAATAACAAAGCTTTCAGGCTTTGACTATCAGTATTCTCTTTTTTCACACTCATGTGAAATCTAATGGGAAGATAGATTATTGAAACGATCCTTATTAGGATGCAAAAGTGAGAACTATGTACTCTTTAGAATAACTGAAAGCTCTTTGCTAGTGTTCAGCAATATCATACAATAAATTGATGTTCCTTATATTCAACGATGCCTAACAATGTACTCATATCATATTGTTCTAGTAATTCGATCGAGAATATACGAACACAACTACGTGTTATCAACTGTAAATATCTGAGATGTGTCAAAAGTGGACATTGAACATGAGATTTCATAGAATATTTCAGAAGATGTATATGAATTTTTAATTATTATCATTACGATGATTAAAATCAAACGGATAAATTCTGTCGGTGCTAAAGAATTTGATTGAGTTTGGGTGTTCGAAATCTGTGTGAAGTTTTGCTCATTCGTGAACAATTATTTCTACTAGTGACTACTTGTAGAAATAATTCCATTGTAGCATCGAATAAATTTGTCAGTATATGAACATAATACAACTTTCTAAAGCCGCTATTACAATATAAAATATTAGTGAAATTATTTCATTTAACGAGTAAAAATCAAACATTTACAATTTTTACAAAAAATGTTCTTTAAATTTGCAACATATACACTTTATTGCTCACGCCACACACCACGTTTTGGATTGTAAAATAAATGTACATCTTTGGTCGAATCTGTCAATCGCATTCGAACTGTGTACAGAGGTTCATTGTAATGACCTTGCCAATGCAATTCAATATAAACATCCATATTACCAGTGTTATTGTTCACTGGTATTTTGTGTTCTATAAATTCTTGACCTGTGAGTCGTTGAGATTCATATTTCGATGCAGTTCCTTGCCGAACTAGTATTCTTACTCTCGAAAAAAGTGTATATGGAATGTCTTGATCAGGATCGAGACCGATAATCTTAATGGTTTGTTTTTTAATTGTAATACGTATTCGTCGATGAAGTTCCCATTCAGGTATGGGCATGTTTAATTTAGCCATCAGTCCTCGCATAATATCGTCGCATAGAGCATGTATATTCAGGTTGGCCAATTCAGTCAATGGAGTCAATTGCAAATTGCCAATGATTAACTTGCCACCGCGTTTACCGACTAATTCTGGAATATCTGCTGCTGGTGTAACTCGTAATGAAGAGCCTAAGACGAGACAAACATCGGCTTTTTCTGCATGTTCAAAACTTGCTTCAAGTTCTTGTTTAGGAAGATTCTCGCCAAAGTTGATAATCGAATCGTACAGTGTCGAACGACATTTGGGACATTTACGAGTTGTTTGATGTTCATGAGCTTTGAGGGCAGTTCGTGTTCGAAAATCACGCAAATATTTCGTCTGACATTTTTTGCATATTTCCAAATTAGAATTACCATGTAACTCGGCTATTAGGGGCGAAGGCAACCCAGATCTTAAATGAAGACCATCAATGTTCTGAGAGACAACAAAGTGAAGAAGATTCTGACGAGCCAATTCGACCAATGCCATATGTGTGGTTGATGGAATTGCTTTTGTTAAAGTAACTGTTAAAGCCGTTGGAGAACGTTTAGCACCAGGATGATCACGAAGTTCCCATACACCCGGTCCTGTTGGTAGAATAGTATTCATACTAGATCGAAAATCAGGAATACTAAAACAAAAAATAACAATAATGATATTCTACAAAATAATAATACAACCCTCAATCCTTCGACATGTTGTGCAATTCTTATTCATATACATGACAGGAAAGATTAAAACCATCTACAAGACTCACAGACACATCAAAGAGAGCTACGAAGCTCTAGCCTATCTCTTTCTTAGCAGAAACTTGCTGAGAGACGTACGGGAAAATTTTCACGAAGCAATTTTTGTTACTATATTGGAAACTTAACTTCTTACTTTTTCGAGAGTTAGATTCGCTTTCAGAAAATATCTCGGTGCGAACCTGTCATCAGTCGTACTCACCCTGTAGATGTCGATATGCCTGCACCTATAATAATTACAATTTTTTATTACATCATTGGTTCGAAACTTGTATTCGACTTACCAGTGAACACGATAAAATGTTTAGCATTACGAATCCAATCGGCCAATTGATCAAGTTTTTGATCGAGAACCTCAGGTGGATCGATAATTTCTTTTTTTGTCGGATCTTCATCTGCTATACCGTGTGCCATATTTTGCTAATTTGATCGTTCTTTTTACAGGTTACAATGAAAAATCTTTGTGATTTATATGTAACTTATATGTATGTCTAGTAACTATGTATTGGTGTAGAGTTGCTACTCACTTGAACATTGCACAACAATGTTGCAATCACGGGCTATCTGCGCCATTCATGAATGTTGACTTACGATGAAAATCGAAAATGACAGGACAAAAAAATTTAACAAAACAGAAGTCATGTGTTTATTGTTTTTCTCTCGAAGTTGAGTTAAAAAAATGTGATGTAATTTTGTGAACATACTTTTTAATTGTATTCAAATGAAATTTGAAAAAACTTCTTCTTTATGATTTTCTTCAAATAACTAGCTCAGTTTCAAGTGATATGAGACAAAAGGTCTCGATTTCCTTAATGATAAGACACTGTAGAACATTATTGAGTCAATATTTGAATGTAAAAATATATAGAAAGCGGGTTTCGCTACCAATAAGTTCTATTCAATCTTTTTGAAAATTCTAGATTTTGCCACTCGCAAGTTGGCTGTCATATAAAACTGAATCTATTATTCATAAAAGCGAAATGAATTATCATGAATAGTTTCATAATTCTACTTCCTCTTCTCTATGTGATCATGACTCTTTACGTCATGTCTTTCTTTTAGAAATTTCATTCAAAAATGTGAGTCAAGTTTTTTTAGCATTACAAGTTCGATTCAAAATGACCTGCAACAATCGAAAAATGACAAACACTGTTCAGATACAGAAATCATATATTTCAATCGTTGTTTACTCATTCTAAATCGAATTTAATGTATATCATTAGTACCTTTTCATCTATTACTGTTTATCGATTACCTTCAAAAGCAGAGTAATCAATTAACACTCATGTTTCCAAAAATCGATGCTCATCCATTATTTCATTCGATTATTATAAAACACAATTGATTACTGACAATTAAAGTTCAAATAGTCAAGAATCAGTAAATAAGTTTTGATTGTTCCATGCAATTACAAAGAAAGAATGACCTTGAGATTATCCATCGAATATGGTGGTTTCTTGCAATTGAAATAGTTTCTGTGGAATATTTTTCTGCTTATACATTTGGTAGAACTTTTATGAATTTCAAGCATTACGTGCGTTTTTTCTTCCAAACTTTGAACAATATTTTACTCTCAGCTAATGAACGGTTTCACCTTATCCTTATAATATTTGTTCGCCTCTATGCATATCACACTATTTATATCGAATGAACAAAATGAAAAAAAAATCTCCAAGTTGTGAAAAACAGTGAAACAAATTTTTTTTGTCTAAAAATATAAATACAATCAAATTGAATAAATATCATAAAAATGCTGTTTTTTTTGGTTTATACAATACAAACTATATCTGTTCTCACTATGATTATAGTAATTAACACACTTGACAGTATGTAATCAAAAGATTTATGTTGTGGTCAAACTTAAAATTCAGTCAAAATTAAAATTTGTTTTGATGAAAGGAGAAAGGCAAAATCTCGGTAACAAAAAGTATGGATGTAGGGCAGGGTGTTTGAGTTAAGGAACTTGGTAACTTAAGTTTGAATTTAGTTTTGGATTTGTTTTTGAATCATATCCACATAAATAGATTGCAATTAGATGACTTTTATCGTAATGAAAACTATAATTATATTATTTTTGTCCAAGACTAAAGTCAGATACTACAAACTTGGCTCTGAATCATGAAATCTTTTCCTGATTGTATCGCACTTTTTTGAGATACGGGTCGTTTGAAACCAAACCTAAATACAATTTTGATATCAAATCGGAACTAAATAAGGCCAAATCTCAATACTTTGGCTTCGTTATACTCCTATCTAGAACATCCAAATGTAATTGTCAATATGGACATGGATTGTCTCTTCTGTATAGTTGTTTGGTTTTGAATCTGTATGTGGATAAGAGCAAGATTCCTATTTCACTCACAATCTTTGATAAAATTTATTAATAAATTTTGTTAAATGAAGAAATGTTGACTGTTCTCAAATTTCTTGTCTGTTAATACCTTTTACTGTGCGTCAAAAAGAAAATTTGTTCGGTTGAATCAAAATTGAAATTTTTGTTTCATTGAGCAACTTTAAAATTTAACTGAATTTTAACTTTGATCACAATATTTAATTATATGTCACTGAGTGAAAGGTAGTTATTTAAGGAATATGCGACTGTTTTCAAAAAATATACAAACATAGAAAATGTAGGACTACTATGAAACTAGGCTATCCTTGATTTTTTTGTTTCTTTTTTATGGTTATCACATGGAGATTCATTGATTGAGTGTGTGAAGGTTCAAGTGTGGACGAAGAAAGAGAACGAGCTCGCTTATATCCTAGTATAAGCATGCGCTACCATTGTGACAAGTTTAAAGTGAAAGTTTAAAAATAGAATTTTACCCGATATCGGATTATGGAAAAAAACCATCATAAGAATTAAGCGTCTTCGTGCAAAAATACCACAGACTGCCCTAACAAGGTCAATTATTACTAACTTTTCATGAACTACCTAATGGATACACGCATACATCGAAAGTTTCCTGTTACCTCAAGAAACTGTCTCGTTAAATTATATTACCAGTTTTTTTTTTACATCAATTCGTAGAGTATTTGAAGAACGTAGCTGAAATGATTATAATTATTTTTTAGACAAGTCTGTCAATATAGTGTTCAGTCTAACATTCTCTCTCGAAAATGTTCTTCATAACCTACACAAGAAAAGCTTAAGCTTAAACATTTATATTTTAATGTGGAAAGTTCTAACATGAATGAAACAGTGGATATTTTTCTTACAAGCATATATGATTCATAGTCTCTGAATGTTTTTGAAGATAAACAAAAAAAACAACTGTAAATAATTCACTTTCAATCGTATTTCTGTGAGTACAAAGTGAAAGTCACAATGATGTTGTTTACAGTCGTACAATCTTGTTGATCAATTACAAAATCTGATAGACATAGCATTCGACTTAATTATATTTATAAAGATAAGCCTTAGCATTGCACAGCACTTGACAATATGACAAAACAAAAGGAGTAAGCAGCTGTAAATAATTCAAGCAGTATTGAAATAAATACTTGGTAGATTCCAACTTCATTTTCTTGAATAGGACTATGATTCATAATTCGTTTAATTTCGTGATTCGTTCTCTTTTCAATAAAAAAAGTGAAATAAAAAAAACAATACAAACGTTTGTTTTGAAAGCAAACGTTGAGTTTTTCGTCCAGTATGTTATTTCAAGTAATAATTAAAATAAACAGAGTCTGTACAGTTATGTATAAACCAAACATGAAAAGAAAAACAACTTTTGAAAAGAAAAATTAAAGGTACTTTCAGGCATCTATTTTATGAGATTTTACTCATTTATAATCAGAATCAAATTCAATAAAATTGAAATCATCCTGCTGGCTTAACTTAAAATATATTTTTAATACAATGATAAGAGTTCCAGTGACAATTGAATGCATTGATTATTCATTATTTGCTGTGAATATTCTTTCGATCATAACTTTTGCATCAACACTTGAATTAATAATTCGATTTCTAGTGCTCAAATATTGAAGATAATCTTCATTGGATGTGTCATTCGTTGCGCATATTAATATTATGAATCATATTGCTTACACTAAATTTTAATTATTTCTTTGAAATGCAAGAAGAAGAGAAATAAAATATGTGCCATTCGAGAAAAAACACAACAACATCATTAACTTGGATTTTTATACATACATATGTAGTTCGACTATTAATCATTGTCTACTTATTATTTATATTCTTTATAATACTTATTCGTGTTAAAATTTGCCATATTATGATTCGTTGTGAAAGAAATCAGCAGACATTGAATTGTTATTCAAGTCTTTTGTCATGAGTATCAAAAATACGATTACGTAGACGTGAAATTAGAACTTCAGATTTCTAAAAATCGATTCTTACTTTATTTCATTAAACAATTGATTATATAGTCTAAACAATTATGTGATCAAAGACCTGTCAGTAATCTAGAACTGCACCATAAATATGTGAAATCTTAGGGATAAATCAGCGAGAATATGAATTTCTTTGCACAATTTTGTAACATCTTTCATGATGTTTCTTACTCAGGAGTTGTGAGATGTGGCAATAACATACTTCTGTTTTTTCTTCTCTCTTGGTAAAAACCAAGTGATATTTGGATTGAATATGATATCATATCAGCACATAGCGACATAAAAATTCGTTTATCAAATATTTCAGCAAATATATAACCAGTCACTTTAGTCGTGAATTTTATGCCTTTAAAAGCTAGTTTTTATTTTTGTATCATGAAATTCTATTACATATTTATTTAAATTCTAGATCATTTCAAGCAGCATACTTAATTGAATGCAACTTTATCTTTTATTTTTTGTTAATAAAATAGAGAACACGCCTGTTTTATATGTATCTCATGATTATACAGTTGCTTATAGTACTTCCTATACTCCATCATGTAGTGAACAGTTTACAAGCTACGGATTTTTATGTTCATGACTTACCACTTTTACCTAAAGAGGCCTCTTCTATTCGTATGCATGCTGGATATCTACCTGTTGATCCACAACATCATGGAGCTTTATTCTTCTGGCATTTTGCAACCAAAAATATAAGTTACAAGTCAAGAACAGTAATTTGGCTTAATGGAGGTCCAGGTTGTAGTAGTCTCATCGGAGCTTGGGCGGAAATCGGCCCTTTCCGCTTTCAAGATGAAAATACAATAATTGAAAATAATGGATCCTGGAATATGTTTGCCAATCTTTTATTTATTGATCAGCCTGTTGGTACTGGCTTTTCTTATATTGATACAGACTCGTTTATTCATCAACTCAATACAATGGCAAATCAATTTCTCAGTTTTCTCGATCGATACATCGAAGTTTTTCCAGAACTACTTCAAAACGATATTTATTTAGCTGGTGAATCTTTTGCTGGTCAATATATTCCGTATATTGCACAAGAGATTCTTACAAAACGAATGGACTTAAAATTGCGCGGTCTTCTGATTGGAAATGGTTGGATCGATCCTATAACTATGTATGAATCATATTTACCATTTGCAGTTGCCAACAATTTAGTGCAAAATAACTCTGTACTTTATAATAATATTGCTAACCAAGTAAAAATATGTCAAAACGCGCTTTCCAAAAAAGTGCATGTTTTTGAAACAGCGTGTGAATCTATCCTGGACCAAATAATGGAACATGGTGCAATGAATAATCATAACACGACAAAAGAAAAGGGTAGATGCGTCAATGTGTATGACGTGCGATTAGACGATACATGGCCTCATTGTGGTATGAATTGGCCACCAGATATCAAATATGTCACGCTCTATTTGCATCAACAAGATGTTATGTCGCGTATTCACGTTAATAGTAACAAATCAGGATGGACGGAGTGTGCGAATTCTGTTTGGAAGGCATTTCGAGCATATTATTCTATACCATCGATCAAACTGTTGCCTGATTTACTTCGAAAAATTCCAATCGTACTTTACAGTAGTGAATATGACTTGATTTGTAATCACTGGGCAACTGAGAAAATGATCGATACAATGACTTGGAATAATGGAACTGGATTTGATCTAGGAAATGGGACATTAGCTTCACCAGAGCCATGGATTGTTGATGACGAACCTGCTGGTCTTATTCGAACTGCACGTAATTTAACTTATATTTTCTTCTATAATGCTAGTCACATGGTACCCTATAATTATGCACGACGATCACGTGCTATGTTACATCAATTCATGCAATTGAATTCATCTGTTAATGCTGATCAAATAACGAACATGAACGCCATTGAAAACATCAATCTGCCAAAAAGTCGTGCTTACAAACGCTTTGGATTTACCGCAGCTGCTTCAATTATAATTATCATAGCTCTTGTTGGTCTTGTTTGGTTTTTTGTACACAAGCAAAAGCAGATTGGAATACAAACGCCATATTTTAGGACTCGTGTGTTGTGGTCGCATAATCGTGATGTTGAACTACAACAATTGGTAGTGTATTCGCTTTTAGATGATGGAAAAGAAAATTGTAATGCATCTAGTGACATAACATTTGTATAATTTATGTGAAATTTTATCGAATGACTTTGTTGTAACGAATTTCTTCTGATGTTTCTCTGTTTACTCTATGCTTTTTAATATGTGATAAGCAGTAAACAAAAGTAATATTTGTGATTACAGCTTCAAAGAAACTATACATATATGATATGACAATATTCAAATTCAAAATACAGCCACAATTTCGAATTCTGTCTGTGCATAGGAGAGACTATTCATAATGTTTATATAAAAAAACGAACGTATTTTCAGAGGTTTGCCTTTGGAGGCACAAGTCTAATGTCAATAGAATATATAATCTTTTTTCCAGAGCGTAAATGAATAAATTCTTTCTATGTCGTACTCTGATACAGATTTTAAAAAAATAGCTAAGGATTTTAGTAGTAAGGGTACATTGTTCTTTCTAATTCATTGTTTTCTGTAGATTTCATGATATCTAAAGATTTAGCATATTTATGCTTAGCAACAGAGTAAACTTTTTGGATAAGAATTTGTTTTGCTCAATCGAATCGATTATAGGTGTATAGTAAAATTAGGTCTCAGATTGTCAAGCGTATTTTTCATACAAGTGTATTGAATTCACTAAACGACATTAATGCATCTAGTAAAATGCTTTGTGCTTAAATATAATAATTGTATTTGACTAAATCGTGCTTCCTCTTGTGAATTTATCAAAAAAAAAGTCTTTGTAAATTGCTACTAGCCTCAAACTCTTAAAAAAGAGAAGGAGAAAGTGTTTTTTGACAAATATAAAGTCTATGCAGATTCAACGAGCAGACATGTTCAAGTTACATGACTTATTAATTGATTTAGCACTATGATAAATATGTTGAAGATAGAGATGAAATAGCATGAATGTCCTAAGTGAGGATAATCGGAAATATGAACTTTTTTCACCTTGAGAAAATTTTATTTTTCTTCGACAGAATTGTACGCTATTAGAAATGTGTGTAACAATCTCTAAGAAATAAAAGCGCTTCAATCGAAAATTAATTGAATTAGAAGACGTGTTAACGATTGTGCGTATGTTGTTTGAAGATGATTTATGAAAGTAAGATAGAGAAGTTCGTTGAGTTTTTACTTAAGAAGCATCTTAATTATATAATCGACATCGAAAGACTCGGATCATTTTCCATGGTGTCCCTATCTAAGTAGTATAGATCAATTACGATCTATTTAAATCTATCCATACGAAAAATCCTTGAATCTAAAATAAGATAAAATAATATTGTTGTTATAAGGTATTTTGATTCTTTCAAACATTGTAGAGCTTTCTTACTGATCATTCTTGATAAAAACAATCTTTTGGAATTTTATGAAGAAATGACAGTGTCATAGTCTAAATAGGATAGATTATGGCATGAAATACTAGTAACTTTATTCGTTCATTTATATTAACTTAACAGTTGAATAAAAGTGAATAACGTTCAATTACGCAATGTTTGATCAATCATACGAACACGATCGTTTGAGTAATAAAGACCAATATTGAGTTGCCATGGAAAAGAACATTTGGTCACGTCAACATTGAGTTCATATGTGCTACGTGTTCTTTCGTTAATTAAACGTAATTTTTTTTCATCACAGTCGACAATTAATTCGAATATGTCATTCATTTCCATATCACTAGTATATCCATTATAATTAGATTGGACAGCACCATTGAGTAAAACAGCATTTCCTCCGGCCCAGCCATAAGCTGTGTTGGTGTTAGCTGAGTCTGGTATCATAGGCGCATCTTTTGGTTTAATTCCAAAGAATACCCATTTACTGGCACCTAAGGTCTCAATCTTGAAACGAAATCTGTGTTGTCCAGATGAATATTGGCATCTACCACGTACCGCTGCATGGCCTTGTGACGGGCCGTGAACGATCACAAGTCCATTTTCTTCAATTCGAATATCACCGGCTGATTGTTCCAGACAATCATCTGACCAATCATTTATAGTAATCTTTCGAATGAATGATACCTCATTCGCATCTTGCTGAATGTTGATCGTTTGCGGTGCAGTCCAGTCATTCTTAATTTTATTTAGTTTGTCTGTCCAATCTTTTAAATCTGTCTCGACGAAATCATCATCATCACGAGCTTTGGTTAATTTTTGTGTAAGATTTCCTAAGACTTCGGTCATCTTGTTCGTATATTTACCAATTGCATTCAGTAGTTGTTTGCGAGCATCGTCGGCCACCTGACGAATCTTCTCAATCGAATTTCTTTCCCATTCATCGATTTTCTGCATAAGAGGATGTTGACGAGGTTCTTTTGCTTGTTCATCAAAACTTTGTCTCAATTGATCGTGACAGAGAGTGACTTCTTCCATTTGCTGATTCAGCATTTGTCGATGTTCGGTTGCATGACGTGTGCAAAAATCTTTTATACATCCACGACATGTGAATACGCCCGCTGCTTTTTCACATGTGACACAAGGTAACTTTGCTACTGTTGAAGATGCCATGCATAAATGAGTGAACGTATGTGTTGACAAAATAATTTTAAGTCAGAAATGAACGGATATAAAAGCGAAAATATTTTTGTGTGCAAATATTATCATATAACATCAATCTGTAAAAGAAAGAATAAATATAATGTACGCTTGTGTATTATCAAGTACAAGTAGCACCTCCCTCGTTACTATCCGAGTGTTCATAGTCACTTTTAGTCCTATAAATATTTCTCAAAATTCGTATCACAACTAATTAGTATCTCTTTATTATAGAGAATTATTTGGTTGTGAGTCTGGTTTTTCTTTTCACTTACATCCTTCCACATCTTCAACTGTGCAATTTTAGCGAAATTTTATTGACAGATGTCGAAGAAAAATGAAAAATAATCTTTTTTTAAGATATATTTTCTAAAAAAAAAAAAACCTTGGTATCAAAGAAGACAGCGGGCATCCAACTATGGAAAGGTGGATGCTTGATTTTGAGGATCTTGTCATCGTCCTAGTCCAAAAGTTATCCTGCATCAGCTGTTTTCTTCTTGCTGTTGCCATATCGAAAATGTTTTCGTTGTTCCAAATCATAAAGCAAAGATTTTGATATGACAATAATGTGAATTTTATCTTATTTTTGAGAATGTCTTTGAAAATAACATTTATGTAATAGAACTCAACCAAAAATCGGCGGAGGTTTCTAAAATTTTAGGATATGTTCACACATTTAACTGACCAGTACTGCTTGTCACTATGGGTAACAGCATAAGATCTATTAATGGCTTTTCTCAACGCAACCATCGGAAGACGCTCATGTTAATAATATTTGATCATGTCTGCTCTAGAAATTTCTTCTGAATGTGCCAATCATATGTTTAGTATTTTGTTTTTTTTATAACATCTTCCATTAATACGGCTTTCCATTATTCTGCCTAAAATTGCGTCGCAGAGTTGCTTTCGTAATAATCTCGACAACATCATAATATTACGATGGCATCGCGTTAATATAAAATCGCTTCATTTGAGTATTGGCTGTAATGTTTTATGACCGTGAGGAAAAAAATAACTGCTGACAATCAACACAGTGCGTCATTCGTTGATTGCTTATAGAACGTTTTCTGTGCAAATACAACCAATCAAGAATACTTCGTAATATATGCAGGCCTTTTTTTTCAAAAAAAAGAACTGAAAGAAAAAGTGCGCAGCAAGCAACATGTGTGTGCTCTATCAATGATTCATATGATTATCACCTTTACCAAAACATAAGAAGCAAGCATATTGTGTTGATTTCAATCTAAGTTGAATGACAAACTATAGAGAAGTATGCAAGTATCACATTCAAGAGGGAAAGAAACAAAATAGTATTAATTGTTGTTGCCTCGAATAGTCAGGTTACTTGACATTGATAAATGATCAAATTCAGGAGAAAGCACTCTCTAGAATGATGAATTTCGTCAGAGAATCATTCAACATTCTATTGAAATTCAATCGCTCAAAGTTCGAAATAATTACTACACGCATTTCGATCATCATGTCACTCTCGTCATCTAAATAGACCGACCAAATTTGTCGACGCTTACTCAACTTTCTCTAGCATTGACTGTTAGTATGTGGTTGCGTATGCATGATAAAAGTATTCAATACTGTAAAATTTAAGGTATTTTACCAATGCTTTTTCTCCTGATTTCCATTAAAATGTATAAAATAGATTTTTGAAAAAAAAGAACAGCATAAAAATAGAATATAGATATGAATAATTGATATCAAAGACATAGACTGATGATAGTGGATAAACGAGAATCGAACTTTATAAGATTTAATATTTACAACACAGTGTTATTTAAAAAAGATAGTAAACGAGTACATACTATCATTTGATAGAGATTAAAAATGACTAGTTGTTTTCTCAAGTATTTATGTGCTGTTATTTAGTGGAAACTCATTTAACTCATACATGCAAAAATCATATTGCGTTATTTCTTGTGACCCTGAACAACAATAAAAAAAATGCAATGAACAAATTTTGCGAATACATTTATATTCCCATATATTTTTATTATATTTACGGATTTACAATTTTTACATGTCTATTCAAATATAATCGGAAGTCAAGAATTTTCATCTGAAACTTTACGTCCACCTGTTTTCTTCTCAGCTCTATCAGTACTGCATATCCATTTGAACAATCTCATAGATTTTAATTCAGTTCCAGATGTTTTCATCATTGTTCTGTTATATAGATACACATGGTTGTGATGAATTAATCGTACAACTTCTACATCAAATATTGAGACAAGAAACACTCGACTTATGTCTTGTGGTCTATTGCAATAAATCACTTATTGGCAGTAACGATTCAAGACGAATTTTATTAATTATATTTAATATATGTCTTAGCAATCAAATTATTTCTTGTGTTGATCATTTCCCAGATGCAAACGAGAGTCAATGACATATTTATTCACATTCATAAGAAATAATACATTTTCAAAAAATCTAACAAATAATTTGCTCAGTGGATTATTTAAATGTGTTTGTGAAATTTCTTTAATGATTCGCGTCTTTTTTGAATTATGAAGTTTTTCTTCGAATTTCTCAATGATTTCTGTTTATGAATAATTTAACTTTAACTAATAAGAAAATACAAAATAATAAATTAAACCAAAAAAAAATCAAAGATTGATAACGAAGATTTGTTAATCATTAAAATATTCTTCTCATCATACCGAAAACAATTTCTAATTGGCACTCATACATACTTACCGAATAAAGTTCACTTTATACATCGATTATCGTTGAGTGAAAACGAATGGTAAACGAATTCTCTAGAAAAGTATTTCATCATACAAAAATATCCTGATTATGGTCAATTCTAGATTTGAATGAAATTGTTTAATATTAGACTAACTTTAACGGAATTTTAACTTATGAAAGTGACTAGAAAAACAATGAAGGAGAAATAACTTGTTTTGTATGTCATCTGCGAGAAACAAGAACTTATTGTACTTCAAAATGGTCTTCTATATGAAAATTTCAACGAAGAAGTATTAAAAAAAAGTTGTCGTAAACAAAAAAAAAATCATTTTAGATGAAATAATAAGTGTTGATGTTATTTGTTCGATGTTGCATAATTTGAAATCTATTTTTATAGTTAAGGAATTGATAGAAAATTGACTAACCAAACAGAGAAATTAGTTAATAAATGTCGATTTGTTTCTGGAATCGACGACAAATTTTATTTAGGATTCTGATAACTTTCTCGAGAAACGTCTATGTAAAGTCTCGACGAATATTTGAGGTAATTATTTTTCATAGAGTAATACAGAGTGCCTAACCCAATATCAATTACTTCCCAAACTCTGATGAATTCAGTTTGTTATATTTCATTGAAAAATCATAGCCAAAGAAGCGTCTATTGAAAATGTTCCTATCAAAAAAATTCGTAAATCTCCTCTATCAATGGAAAAAATCAGTTCGATTCAGTGAACTAATGTGAAAACAAAGTTTCGAGGGTACTGGTCTTGATCTCTTTTCGTAAAAGTTCAAAATCAGTAGTTCAACATTTTTCGAAACGGCTAGGTGAAGCATCATCAAACAATTATCACATCAGTGACATGTGTCATAACGAGAGAAATCAAAGACCGCTAATTGGATAACCAACACCCCAACTTACATAAAATGATTGTCTTGAATAGCACAAGCGTCTATTTTATAGAAAGAGAATGTGCGTGCACAAAATCACTTAACTAAGCAGCATAAGAAAAACTTTTTCAGTACTGCTTGTATATACAACAAGGTATTCATATTGCGAGTGTTCCGTTTCTGTTAAATAACTGTATAAGTTGAATTTCATTTTATTCCATCCTCAAAAAAAGGATTCATGTTACTGAAAAGCTTGAGGGGAAGAATGCTCGTCTATGGTTTTCCTTATAGAAAAAGCCGTTGTTTTATGACTATGTATCAAGAGAATACTTTCGTCCTATACAAAAATACTCTTCTACATCGGTCCAATCTTGTTCAAGAACACGGTCACTGTTATTTAGCCGCTGTTTCGAAAATACTAGCTAGAGATCGATAGCAGAAATCTTTCCAGCAAAAGTTAAGATTTAATAAAATTCAAGATTAACACGTAACGTTGTTCAATATAGCTAACTAATAACTGACAACGACATTCATCTGGTCAACCCAGTATTTCGCTCATTGTCCATGATTTATGTTCTCCCCGTAACTGTCGTCCTTCTTGAAACAGTTGTTGGTCGAGAAGTGCTTGTTGTTAATGAGTTGCCAGTTGTTGTTCCTAGAGCTTTAGTCATTGTGGAGCAAAGTGGAAGTACATTAGAAGAGAATGAACCGATTACATTTCCTGAAGGATAATAATTTGCCACAACATAGGCAGTTCGCTTATTACTTGTTAAGGCGATACCAATTCCTAATTGTTTCGATCCTTTCCAAATAACTTGTGTGAAATGACCAGTCGATGATGAAAA